ACTAACACGACAGCATAACAAGGGTCCCTACATTCAAACCGAAGCATTGAGAACTTTGTCAGTGTCCATACAGTTTAATAAGAAGATATTTTATACATGCAGTCAACTTCGCGAATACAGGAAGAAGCCATCTTTGAAAAATAGTCTGTACCAGTCGATCTACGAGCGCCGATCCAAGTGCGCTGAACTGTGCAGAATCTCATATCATGGTCCGTTGTTTCCAGAAGAAACACAAACAAACCGTTTTCTTCTCTTCAATATGTAGACGTAGCCTACTGTTCGCGCTCATTTTATCACCTTATTCACATCTCACCAGCGCACTTGGATCGGCGTTCGTAGATCGACAGGTAGAGACTATATTTCAAAGATGGCTTCTTCCTGTATTCGCGAAATTTACTGTGTGTATAAAATATCTGCTTATTAAACTGTATGGACACGGACAAAGTTCTCAATGCTTCAGTTTGAATGTAGGGACCCTTATTATGCTGTTGTGTTAGTGTGGGGCTATTTTGAGCCTTTTAGTGGTAATAACAAGCGATTTTTATTTGTCATTACTCTATGCCCTATATACTAGCGTCAGAGGCTAAACTGTTTTTAGAGATAAAACTACTTACATTCGGCAATCATGAAAACAAATCTCAGATAACGGTTGACTAGGTAACAATGTGTAATTAGACTAAAGGTTCATTTTGCGCAGGAGTTGTCCTTTAACCAAGACCTCTCAATCTGAGTGATCAAACCAATCCAAGCGCACTCCAGCTCTAACACAGTCTCCAGTTGATCTCCACACATCATCCCTACCCATACCCGAAATCCAGTTTCCATTGGTTGAACTTTCAAATTGCTCTAATGTGCACAAACACATATAATCTATATACAACCTTTATATAGTTAGGTTCAGTCAAATTATGTATTAATTTAATTCTGATTCTGATTGGTAATAGGCACTTATCTAAAGCTAAAAGGAGTTTCGTGCTTCTGACAAGTGCTTTTGACCTTCTTTTTATCTGAATGGTATGCAGAAAACACTTGAGTTTTTCATACTTGAAAAAAACGTGGAAAACTATTAAAATGGGAAATGAGGGAACAGTTAACGAATGTGAACGTTTATTAAACAACATTAACAGAGGTTAATAAATGCTTTAAAAATACATTTCTCATTGATAGTTCATGTTGTTTAAGGCATTATTATTGTAAATGAGACCTTTTGTAAAGTGTTGCTTTAATTCCTGTAATAAATTACTCAGCCTGTCATTCCGAACCAATTGGACTCTATGTTGCCTAAAACACAGAACGAAATATTTAGCATAATGTCTAAGCTGCTCTTTCCCTTGAATGAAAGTGATAATTGCTGAGATGTTCATGGTCTTTATCCACTTTTATTGTACGGGAAAAAACAACAACAACCAAACAAACAAATGGTTGGACAGGGTTTGGAACTTGAAGGTATAGGTGAGCATGATGGCAAATTTTTGACAATCTCCCTTTAAATAAAAAAAAAAAGTAATTATCTGCATTTAAGTGTCACAGGGGTTCTGATATTTCTGTCATCTTGTAGTTCGACCCATTAACTTTCACGTTTTCTGCACTTTAATTTGAGTTGATTCATGAATGTAAAAAGATACTTTTAATGAAAACGTTTCAGGGTCAGTCTTACACAATTTCACTCATGTTCGGGTCTGAACTTTAACAACGTTTTCCATTCATTACAGTCCGGCTGGGCGCTTGAGTTGTGTCCTTTCATACCACTCGAGAGTGAATGAGACGTGGTACTTGATTAAAGCCCAATCCATGCACGCTCCTTCACGTTTGCTGTGCACCTTGACCCCTCGCTGCATGTCACATGGCTATCATTTATTTCACAAGATGCTCTCCTATAAAACTAGCAATCTAGTTTCAGCTGTGTGAAGGTTTTAGCATGCTGAGTAACAGCTTCGTAGAGCACAAAGACACAAATAGGACCGGGCTATGAATAATTGAGGCGGCCCTTGGAAAAGATGGAGATTGGTGCTCTCTGAAAGGACCTAGACTGCTTTCTGTCATGGTAATCACATAAGTGACTCAAAACACTTCAAGTAAACAATCATCCATTCACGGGTAGATAGAGCGGAGCAGCTTGCTTTGTGTTTGATGTTTGACGTTCAATGTGCTCTTCACACGTACACAACTACATATTCTCAAAATCAAGTCGGTTGCGCACTTGTTGGCGTATCCATTTGCATGTCTATGGCTGTAGTGGCAGTGCTTTAAAGGGGATAAACTTAAGGATGTGATTGCACAGAGTTTAGTTGTTAACACGCTAATTAAAGACTTGCTACTAAAACATAAACTACAAACTAGCATCCGTTAATTAGTCAGCGGTTGGATGACTAAAGTTATTGGAGCACTGAGATCTTGGGTGTCTCTTGTAAAGCCTGACACTAATTGCATGTGACTGATTTGTTTCAGACACATTGGAAACAAGGGCCTTTACTTACATTTCTATAAGGGGCTGTTTACACGACATCGTTTTCAACTAAAAACGTAAAACCTTTTATGCATTTTGGCATTTACACAACATGGCATCATGACTTTGCGTAAACATACACGCCACTTTCAAGTCAAGTGGCGTGTTATCTATACTCATTTTGAGCTGTATGTCAATGCCGTTAACTCTTTCCCCGCCAAACACGGAATTTTTCCGGGTTTAATGAAAAAACGCATCACCGCCAAACACGGAATTTTCCGGGTATCCGTGTTTTAGGTGGTATACGGTAAGGAAGACCCGCGCGCATGTTCTGAATGAGTGCGCAACTCTTTGATCAGAGAAACAGATTGCAATCGTCTCAAACAGTGGAGTAGTGAGAATGTATCAGACAGACAATGCAGAGGTATATGGCTGAAGTACTGGAGGTTAATGGACTCGGAGTCCGATCACTCTTTATTTGATCATTCTGAATCTGATCGGGACGAAGTAGTCAGTGAGAGTGATGCACATGTTGTGCCGCAGATAGATCGTATAATACTTGTATTATGACACTATAATATTTATGTGTGTGTGCAGGCATTTATGTGTGGCTGTCTAAATATGAAGGTGTCTAAGCCTTTTTATTGTAATTCCAATTATTCATTATTCACAGGTAGAACACAGAGAGGCAGAGGCAGAAGTTTTATTGCAAAAGTTACATTTCCCTTACATCCTGGGAAATTTGATATATTTTACATTTATTTACGTTTTTAATTTATTTTGGAAAGTTTTATATATGAAGGAAACAACATCTGAATGTATTCTGCTTTTAAATGCACTTGTTTGATAAAAATACCTTTTTCTCAGTTTTTTGTCCAAAATGTTGTTTTTGACAAAACCTACCTCTGTTCAAGAGGCAATAAAAAAAGAACAAATGAAGATAAAATAAAAACGTTTTTTTTTTTTTGCCTAAAAGCAGAGGCTCAGATCTTTATTTTTATATATATCATCTTCATATATTCATGGAAGAAAATATTCAGCGGGGCATTAAAATTTAGCGAAAATCGTCAAAAACCCTGGCGGTGGCTGGCAACTTTTTTTTAAAACGCTGGCGGGGAAAGAGTTAAATGTCCGAGTGATTCTGCGTGTATGTACACGCTGTTAAATTTCCGAGCGAAACGAAGCACAATGTAGATCTACATCTAGGGGAGCAATATTTTTTTTTCCTAGGATGGTAGTGGAAGACTCTTACTGTAAATGTTATTGACCCCAGTGACGGGTAGGTTTAGGGACGGGGTTGGGGTAGGTCATATATTTATATATACAGTAATGTAACGTTAAGTCAGCGGCGTTCATAAACACTGAAAAGCGATTATGCGTGTTGATAGCACTCCAAAAATGGAAATACGAATTGGCGTGTCATACATTTCAGGAGATCAGCGTTTTGGGTGCGTAATAACGGCGTGTCTGTCGCAACTACACTGAAATCTCCATGATAAGCAAGCGTTCACACAATATAAACGTATATCGATTTCGTATAAAACTACTACACCATTGATGGGAACTTAGCTATACGTGCCATTTATGTCAGAGGGAGCTATTTCAGGCCCTGTAGAGATTTAGTGAAATGCCCAAACTTTTTTATTTTGCTACTTCGCCATTTTGAATATACACATTTATAATATTTGTGTTATTGCTACTATTTTTGTTATTTACCTTAGAGTAATTAAAAAAAAACTAATTAATTACAAAAAATTAAAAAAAAAAAAAGATTATTGTGGAAGTATTTTTGTATTTTCAAAATACTAATTACTTGTATTTTATTTAAATACATTTTTCACATCAGTATTTTGTATTTTATTTAAATACATTTCATGAGCCAGTATTTGTATTTTGTAACAAAATAGTTTTTGATGTATTTGTGCCCACCTCTGACAACAATCAACACAAAACGTTGTCAGATTCACGTGCATCTGTTTCAGATAAAACTGAATGCTCTTGTTGCACTTGTCACTGGAGATTTCACTTAAAATGTTTTACGGCTGTGAAACGATTAATCGCGATTAATCGCATCCAAACTAAAAGTTTGTGTTTACATAATATATGTTTGTGTGGTGTGTATAATTATTTTGTATGTATAAATACACACATGCATGTATATATTTAAGAAATAATTGCATGTATATACTTTATACTGTATATTTACACAAAATTAATATTATGCATAAATATAAATATTTGATAAACTAATAACACATTTTTCTTAAATATATACATGCATATGTGTGTATTTATATATACAAAATAATTATACACACCACACACATATATTATGTAAACACAAACTATTATTTTGGATGCGATTAATCGCGATTAATCGTTTCAGAGCCCTCAAAATGTTTGCAAAATTGTCCATTGGCACGTTTTTCCTCTTGGACTGGGTTGATCTGAAGTTAGCCCACTTAATGCGAGTTATTTCTGACGTATTCATTTTCATTTAGCTAAACCTGAACACTGATCTGGTGTCTCTCTGTCTCCCTCTCCCCACTACTAGATGTCTGAGATATGATGGAATCCAGTCGGGATGTTGTACTGGAGCCGCCTGAGGAATCTCTCTCAGATCAAAGCACCAAAGCTAAAGTAAGTTTCAAACTATTGATTTCCATGAAGCTTGTGTTCCAAACCTTACCGAGCTGCCTGTCTCACTTACTTTTCTGGGGAAGTAAACTTGCTCGGTAGCTCACCTGGTACAGCATTGCACTTGTGATGCGAAGCACTCGGATCAATAAAAAACGTAACTATTTGTGTCACATTTGCTTTTATTAACACACTGTAAAAAATATTTTCAAGATTTGTTATCACAACATATTTTCTTTTGTCAAATCAACTTTATAATAATTTATTTAGTTGAGATAACTTATTATTTTGAGTTTCTGATGATTAAATTAATATACTTCATTGTATTAACTCACTTTTTCCAGTTCAATCAACTTAAAATTTTAAGGCAACCCAGGTTACTTACTTTTTTAAGTTAAACCATCAATATTTTTTTACAGTGCAGTCGGTTAGGTTTAGTGTAGGTGGTGTGTTATTTTCAAACGCGATAGAACATTAAACTTTTAGCGTCACTCACTAGACATTTTATTTATGAACTGATGCAAAATGAACAAGTCATTTTTTGGAGTATCATTTTGCAGAAATGTCGCCTCAGGCACTTTTTGCCAAGGAGACTGGGTTGAAGAGTCAACTGTTTTTCATGATTATTCAGCCCTAAATACAACACATTTAGAAATTATATTTTTCTTGATTCTTTCCACTGTCTTGGGATGAACATTTAAAGAGTTTGTCACTATGGATAAAAAACTAAAGGCATCTTGTAAGGCAACATCATTTTTCTACCTTGTACTTTCAGGATTGTCAATGCAGGTACTGTAAGTAGCTCACTAATCGTCGCAATAGACCCATTTTTTTTTTTACATGACAACAGCCACTACTGACTGGATGCCACTGTGTGTTGTTGCATATGCAGTGCATGACCTCATTCCCGTTCCTCTGCTCTCCATCTGTTAAATGGAAAAACCCATGTACTCCCATGTGTCTTTATTCAGCGTATTGCACCTGCCTGAGCGTAAGGAGGACCTGGCTGAAACACATAGATACCCCTGAGGGTATCTGATGCTTGGTTAGGCAGTTATGTTAACTATAGCATACCATAAACGCCTACATAAGCAAAGAACTGAATAATTCACAGTGCTTGGCAGATCTGTAATTAATAGTATCCCTCCATAATTCATTTATGCTGCCCATGAGGCCCAAAATGAGGTGACCTGATGGTCAGACCAAACATGTCCATGTTCCTTCATTTTGCCTGAAGGTGATGTCCTCATGAATACCGTACATGTATAGGCACTTGTTTGCTAATGTTAGCATAAGTAGCATTATGCTGCATCTTGCTTTATTATTGCTTTTAGGCGTTTTTTGTGAAATCCAGCAATCTTAACCCTTTAACTGACTTCTCAACCAAACGGTTGAGCACATTTTGAGTCACTATATTTTATTGAAAGGCATACCAAACTTAACTCAAACTGATTAAGCCATCTCTATCATCTGGTTGAGGTATATTATACCCAAAAAATTCCACTAGATTCCACAACTCTTGTCACAACACTTCTTCTAACATGGATGTCAGAAACAAATAAATCACCCAGCCATGTGAACTGTTTTTAGTGAAATATTGCAAGCTAAGCATTTTTTTTTTTTGCATATTACACTGTAAGGGCCTTAATTTTACAAAATGATGTGGTGCTATGAAAAAACGTAAGTATATTTGTAATAATTTTTCAAAAACATGCTCAACCAAATGGTTGATTTGGCACATAACTGTTAATTGCCCATTCTCTTTTTGAGAATTGACATTACAATGCACTATTAAAACTTGGTTGTAATTCAAGTATGCTTTGGAATAAAGACCAAAGTTTAGTCTTGTTTTCAAGAAACCAATCAGCAGATTATTGCTGAAGTAAAATCACTTCAAAGTATGAAAAGTATGAAAAAGTTATGGAAGTTTTAAATTTACATTAAATCAAATATACTCTACTAAATATTAATAAATAATAAACTAATATTATAATTTTTTCTTTTTATAAAAATATTTTTTTCCTATAAAATTACTATAAAATCAAAGCCATATACTGTATCTAACCAAGTTGTGTTCCAAATCTGAAGTTGATATCACAAAAATTGAAGTTCTCATGAGATTTTGTTTAGGCGTAATACCAAAAATGACATAAATTCAATTGAATTTAATTGTATGTAGTCTGCTGTAACAAATCAATACATTTCTGTCCAAATATCACTTATGTTACAAAATATGGAACCTTGAGACTCGGACTTTTCTGACAATGTGTTTTGTCAAGACTAGAAAAGGGTTTGATCATAAATTATAATGGGAAATGAAAAAGTATGGCAAATTATGTGTATGAAATCCGGTACTGTTTATTACCATTAAGTGACATCGCAACCATTTGGTAGAGGCTGATATTTTAAAAATGATGGGATGTGTTGAAAAAAAAAATACATTGAGTGTGGTTACTAGAGACATAAGAAGATAAGAAATGCAAACAACTTGGTCCACTTATAGGAATCCACATGATCTGGAATTTCATTTGAGAATAGATTTTCCTTAGCAGATTTGCCCAGATTCGCGACGTTGACCAAAATAAAGTTGCTTGGTTTGAAAGTGACTTCTGCATGAGCTGTGCTACGTACATCACTACACTATTGACAAGGGACATTTTTGCCTTCAGAATTTCTCTAATGTGACCATACCTTAAGAGAATATTCAGGGTTATTTAATAACAAATGTTGGTATGTTTCGAAATGTTGCTTTGTGAAAGCTAATCAAATTAAGGATAAAATGCAACGTTGTACTAGTTTTCTCAAAAGGTAGTAGTGTACTTGCTCACAACATTAAAGTCGGCATGAAATGAAAATAATTTTTCTTAACAAAAAGTTTTGACCTCATATTTTTTGTTAACTTTCATTCATTTGCCTCTGTTTGTCTCAAAATGAGGTCCACAATCAATGCAACAATCGAAGTCCCAATCTTAATTTTTTTACATTTTGAAAATCCGTTACACTCGGATGCATGTTATAATATACATATTAAATTAATCATATATAATAAATAATTTTAAATCTACTTTAAAAGCTGTTAGCTCACTCACTCACTCACTCAAAAAAAAAAAACTCTTTGAATGAACGTAAAAAAATATTGGAAAGGATTTCTACATGATTAACTTGCTTTATTTCAGCATTATGCAATTCTGTTATTCCAATTTAATGTACTTGCATTGGGTCAACTTAATCTATTAAAGTTGATTCAACTTATTTACCATGGTTGGGAATAGCTTAATTTAATATTGTCAGTGAATTTATAAAGGCTCCCTGATATGCTTCAGGTATTCAAATTCATAATATTCACTCATACAATACAATACAATTTATTTTAGTGACATACTAATATATTTCTTGACCATAACCAGGTAGTAGCTACCAATACCACTTGTTAGGATCTTAAATTATAAGATTTATAGTTTCATTTGCTGAATCAGTTTTCATCCTAACCAAATGCTCCACTCTTCTTCACAATGGTATCCCACTGTAATTTAAATGGTACCAATAATTGCAATGTAATTGAACATTAAACACAATTACGCACTATAAAGTCGTCCCCTTTTCTCATTTTCTCAAAAACACATAACATAACACTTAATTTAAACGTTCATTCTCTCTTAATTGAGCCATATGCAAAGCATGCTGGGAACTAACAAGCCCAGTTTGAGTTTATGCAACACAAATCATTCATGTAATCCAACACAAACGGATTACGTAAACTTAAATTTTTACAAATATTTAAGCAGATTGAACACAATCGAATTAAGTTTGGACAAAATGTATAGCAATTGTGTTGCTTAAGCTCATTTTAATTAAGCAATTTGAACAAGCAGCAAAAATCATTTTCATGTTTTAATCTGACCCATGTCATATCATGATCATATTCCCCTCCATTTCCTCTATTTACTAATTTTTTCTTTAGTAAAATGCTTAATAAAAGTAAGCGTCACATTGCCGCTTTACATTTGTCTTCTTTCCATAATACACATTTTTAATTTTGTGTAAATTTGGTATTCAATGATTAACACCAATGACATTTTCACATTGAATGTTAATTGATTTTTGAGATATAGCTTCATATAGGATAAAGATCACAGTCTAAAATGATTATGCAATAAGAGAAGTTGATGTTAATTTGAGTGAAAGTCTTAATTTCTTTGATAGATGCGCCCTTCTATCCACATTCGCAGACAATGGTGGGGCATTAGAGCTGCTATTGATCTTGCATATTTAAACAGCTCCAAACTAAGAGAAAGGCTTAAAAGGGCACAACTAATTAGTCAGTCGTCAATAATTGACTCTAAGATGCAGAATGACTAGAACTGGCTTTGATTGAAAGGCCCGCTTATCTTTTACATATCTGAATGAGGAGGGTTTCTTTTTTTCCTTGAGTAGAAGTGAGTAGAAGAGAGCTCTGTATGAATCATTAACTTAAAGCAGACCATGTCTGTTTCATCAGTCATTGAATACTTACTAATAGACTGTCAAATTGTTGCCTCTGGGTTATGCTGTGATAACCTTGGCCTTCGTCCATACACACACACATACGAGATGTGCTCTGGCAGGGAATCGGGTGATGTCAGCTGTCAGCCTTGGGGACAGCGGTTCAGTTTAGTGTCTACTAGCTCCTCCTTTTGAAGTCTGCCAAACATGAAGTGATTCCCAACGCTGTTTTCTGACCTCTGATTATACATGGTGAAAGTCTTGTCCTGCACCATTTATGTTATAGTTATGATGAATGATACCTCAAATCATGTGGCTTGCTGAGAACTTTTGTGCTATTCCTTTTCTGAGCAATCAGCTTTCCACCTACTGGATGATGAAACAAGCTAAAAAATCCAATATTTACATTGAAATAGAGACCCAAGTCACATGGACCAGAATATTATATAGACGTGGGTCGTATTTGATTTAGGTCAGAGAGTTACATAGGTTACCTATATATATATATATATATATATATA